CACTAAGTTACGCCATTAAGAGTACAGAGAATTTGTCTCCATTTTGACTTTTATAACTAAATGATGATAAAGAAAAAAAAAAAGAGTACAGAGAAAATAAAATAGGATGTATAGTATATGGTTATTTGTGTAAAAATGAAGAAAAGGAAGACAGAAAACATTTTTTTGTATATGTGTAAAATAAAATCCCAAGAAATGATGAAATCAGATGCTTCTGGAGAAGGAGACTGCCGGGGTGGATGGCGGAGTGGTCATCCTGTTGTGTCTTTTGAATACTGATTAAAATAAGTTTAAAATAATCTTATGGGCCAGGTAAACAGCTTTCATCTGAAAATTTGAGAAACAGTCAAAATTCTAGTCCCTGCCTGTGGCTTTCAATAACTATCAAATAAGATCTGAAAAGCTGATTGGCAAATCCAATGCGAAATGGTAACTCGAATGGCTTCCATGAGGAAGCCCTGTCTCCTCTTCAACCCGGTTTTAACCTTGGCCTGTTGGTATAAGTCCCAGGTACTGTTTCTTAAATTTTTTTCTTCAACATACTTAAAATCAATGACACTGTATATTTTTAAAATGCTCTGTCATTTGCACTTTCAACTAATTCTGGCTGCTCCCATCTGTTGGTTTGATTTATTGAAAGTTTTGTAGGTGTGTCATCCTTCCTTTTCACTTAAGACAGGTACATGCTTTAGTTGTTTAGAGCTGCATCTTTTGAATATTTATTTTGATGTGCAGAAAATTGTGGATTGTCAGCAAGTAAACATTTGGACAATCAGAGGATCAAAATATAAGACAAATCTGGATTTCTAAGTCTGTCTCTTTTATTATTATTATTTTTTTTTTGGGCAAGATTTGCCTGAAGTGGAAAGAATTGAATATGGATGAGCGCATGTTGCAGACTGATTTTCAGCCGTAATTGCTTTGCAGCATGAAAATAGGCAAAGAAAAGAGACTGGGAATATAGGCAATCAGAGATGAGGTTCTTACACCTGCCAGATACCATGTGTAGCGCGCAGGTATCCACAGAGAAATTGAAATTCTGCTCTCCTGTGACAAGACATTCCAATTAATGCCATTCGGATACATCTGTCTGCCGGTAGCTCACCTCGTGAAACGACAGTCCCGTCCTGCTGTGGGAGTCCGTCAAAAGGCTCATTTCGGGAGTGGCACAGCAGTCATCCTGGGACATGTGCTGTGGGGCTGTGACCCTCCTTCCTTTCCATTTACTTCAACGCAGAAACAGCGGCTTACAGGGAGCACTCCTAGCTGGAAGGCTTGTAACAAGATGGCATTTAGATCACAAACGCCATTCTGAAAGCATATGTTCTTCATACACGTGGCTGTGGGATGGGGTTGACATAGCAAATTGCCAGGTTTTGATTGCTGAAACAAAGAAATGTTTACTGTATTCATTTTGGCATGAAAAAGAGTTGGACAGTGTGTGGATCCTTTCAGGCATTAACTTAGAATTGAATTTAAACAGGGCCTCCCGGGTGATTATGTCTCCTGAGGCAGTGACCTGGAAGGGTAGGGTGGCGGGTGGGAGGCTGGGGGGACGTTTGTTCTGCCACAGACTTTGCTCCTCATTTTATTTTTGAGGCCAGAGCACTGTGATGCCTCATACCGTGTGCATGTATTGGGGGAGGGAGGTGTCTGTGCGTCTGTGTTTTCTCTTCCCTCACTTATAAAGTAACCAGGAGCTTGATACAAGCAAATCTGTGCAGCAGGGATCTGGCAGCAGGGGATGGTTGGGAAAGGTGGGATTACATTGCAACCCTGGCAAAGTACTAAGGATTGCCGTAACCCTTCAGAAGGCCAAGGTCATGCATCTGCCAACAGTTCTTCACACAGTCTGATGGTACTGTATGGAGCCAGCAGCCCCCAGTGAGCCAGCAGCCCCCAGTTCCCGCAGCCTTGCCCACCTCCCTCTTCTGCACTCACTTCCCTGGAGTAGCCTTGCCCACCTCCCTCTTCTGCACTCATCCCGCAGCCTTGCCTCCACCTCCTCTTCTGCACTCACTTCCCGCAGCCTTGCCCCACCTCCCTCTTCTGCAGACTCACTTCCCGCAGCCTTGCCCACCTCCCCTCTTCTGCACTCATTTGCCCCCCGCCTCTAAGCCCACCCTCCCCTCTTCTGCACACTCATTTGCCCCCGCCTTGCCCACCTCCCTCTTCTGCAGACTTTTTGCACTGATGGTCTGTTCTCCACTTGTTCTCTGAGTCTTCATATATGAGACTTTTCCTGTCTTAACTAGGTGTGAACTCTTGAGCGCATGAAACCAAGCTTTATGCTTTTCATGTCTCTCTTCATTGTCTGTAAAAGAGCATATGCCAATTAATTTTTGGCCTTGATTCATCTCTTCTGACTGTGACTCTTAACCAGCTGAATCATAATCCCCTACTACCTGCTCAACTACTCAGATTTTTTGGTGGAAGAAATTAGTTGGTATCTGAGTTGTACAGTTTTGCTGTAGGAATGTGGATGTTATTTAGTGTGAAATAATACTTCTCCAAAGTTCAGATTCATGGGAGAAAAAAGGCCAAATGTACTAAAAAGTGTGTGTATTACGATCAGACCCTTTCCATGGAGCTACGTTTTCATTTGATCCACGAATAAAAATCTACTAGGACACATTTTGTCTGTGTACAACTTCTTAGAGGAAAGAAATGAACATCTATTGAGCTTCTGTTATTGCCAAGAACTGTCTGTGCTAGGCAATTTTTCATATATGTAATATTTTTTAAATTATTGCTCAATTCCATATATTTAATCTTTGCAGTGATATTCTGAAATATGATTATTTTAATTTCTTTGATGTAAACCTTTTATTTTTGAGATATAGATTCATATGCAGTTGTAAGATAGAATACAGAGAGAACTTTGCAACCTTTATCTAGTTTCCTCAGATAGCAACATCTTGCAAAACTGTAAAATTATCACAACCAGAACATTGACATTTAAAAAAAAATTTTAATTTATTTTTTAATTAGTTAATTAATTATTTTCTTTTGAGGCAGAGTCTTGCTCTGTCACCCAGACTGGAGGGCAGTAGTGTGATCTTGGCTCAAGGCAAGCTCCGCCTCCCGAGTTCAAGCGATTCTCCTGCCTCAGCCTCATGAGTAGCTGGGATTACAGGCGCCCGCCACCATGCCTGGCTAATTTTTGTATTTTTAATAGAGATGGGGTTTTACCATGGTTGGCCAGGCTGGTCTTCAACTCCTGACCTCAAGTGATCTGCCTGCCTCAGCCTCCCAAAGTGCTGGGATTACAGGTGTGAGCCCCTGCGCCTGGCCAGAACATTGACATTGTGACAATTGATATGGTCAAGAAACGGGGCATTTCCATCATCACAAGAATTCCCCCTGTTGCCCTTTTATAGATACATTCTCTTTCCTTCCATCCAGATACATTCCCTTTCCTCACATCCAGATACACTCACTTTCCTTCCATCCAGATACATTCCCTTTCCTCACATCCAGATACACTCCCTTTCCTTCCATCCAGATACACTCACTTTCCTTCCATCCAGATACACTCCCTTTCCTTCCATCCAGATACACTCACTTTCCTTCCATCCAGATACACTCCCTTTCCTTCCATCCAGATACACTCCCTTTCCTCACATCCAGATACACTCACTTTCCTTCCATCCAGATACATTCCCTTTCCTCCCATCCAGATACATTCCCTTTCCTTCCATCCAGATACATTCCCTTTCCTCACATCCAGATACATTCACTTTCCTCCCATCCAGATACATTCCCTTTCCTTCTATCCAGATGCACTCACTTTCCTTCCATCCCAACTGCTCTTTAACCTGTAGAGCCACTGATCTCTACTCCCTTTCTCTAATGTTGCCATCTCAAGAAAGTTATATACATAGAAAATGCAGTGTTTTCTGGTTTTTTTTTTTTTTTTGATTTTTGTTTTTCACTTAGAGATTTATCCAGGTCGTTGCCCTTATCCCTAGTTAGTTGTTTTTTTTTTTTTTTTTGAGACGGAGTCTTGCTCTGCCGCCCAGGCTGGAGTGCAGTGGCCGGATCTCAGCTCACTGCAAGCTCCACCCCCCGGGTTCCCGCCATTCTCCGGCCTCAGCCTCCCGAGTAGCTGGGACTACAGGCGCCGCCACCTCGCCCGGCTAGTTTTTTGTATTTTTTAGTAGAGACGGGGTTTCACCGGGTTAGCCAGGATGGTCTCCATCTCCCGATCTCGTGATCCGCCCGTCTCGGCCTCCCAAAGTGCTGGGATTACAGGCGTGAGCCCCCGCGCCCGGCCCCATCCCTAGTTAGTTTTTTAATTGCCACGTAGTATTCCATGGTGTGGATGGACCAGAGTTTAACTTTTCACCCTCTGAAAGGACATCTGTGTTTTTTGTTATCATAAATAAAGTTGCTGTAAACATCCATGCACAGGTTTTATGGGAACATACGTTTTTCATGTCTTTGAGATAAATGCTCAGGAAGGCAAATATTACCCGGTTGTGTGGTAGTTGCGTATTTAGCATGTTTAGCCTGCAACTTGCAGCGATCCCTAATGCATACATGCTTATCATTCTTTCTTTTTATGTACGTTTGAGGAAATTAAAGCCCTGAGTAGTTCACATGCCCAAAATTACATAACTAGTTAAGTAGTGGAGCTAGCACTTGATCCCCTGTCTGCCTGAACTCTCCAAATCTACATCTTTTCCCATCAGGACTCTGCTAAAGTATATAACCTTTTATGTGTAACAGTGTTTGGAATGGAAACTGAAGGTTCTGTTTTCACCTGACCTTGAATCACTAAAACTGAGAAGATGATTTCATAGTAACAATATTGTGTATGATTTTTCTTCCTCAAAAGAGCAGAAAGAAAATATGAGTACAGGAGACACCGGAGTTCATGGTGGATATGATCAAATTAGGATTCCTTGCCTTTGAATGCAAAGGCATTGAGCTTTATGATCCCATCTTTGATGGGAGGTTGTTGCGCAGTGAATCAAGGGCAGATCCAGGACTCCGATATGAGCTCTCCATCCCGTTCTGTCTGGTTGCCATCTGTGTGTCCTTCAGTGCTAGGGCCGGCAGCTCATGGCTGGCGATCCTCAGAAATGCAGATACTATCAATTATTGGTGTGTTAGTGGCAAATATGTGGATGGAGGTGGGGGAGAGTGATTCCCAGGTGTTGGATGATCTGATCATGACAGGTACTGAAACTCTGAGGCCATTTATGGTTATTAGATGCACTGTGGGGAATTGCAGCCCCTTCTGTAACCTGCAGGGTTATTTCTGGGTGACATTTTGACAGGAAGATGTCCTGTGGGAAAAGAGTGCTAACTCAGTTTGCCTGACCAACAGTTAATTATTAATACTCCATACCTGAAAGTGGAGTGACTTTACTTGTCTGTCTTTTATGGAGTTATTGGTATTTTGTGTATCTTTTTTTTCTAATAAAAAAGGAGAAGGTTTTATTAAGCAGTTTGAGAAAATTACAACCACAAAATTGCACATTGCTGCAAAGGTGTAAGGGTTTTTTCAACGTAACTTTAGAGTCTGTGTAATTTATGCTGCTACAGGAAATATCCCTTCTGTTTCAGAGATTTTAAACAAAGGCAGGGTGGTTATCACTCTGCTTTCTATAGCCTAAATATTATTTCTGAATTAAAATGGCTGATTTCAATTTAGTCTCTGTAGACTACAATAAAGCTAGAATGAAACCAATCTAATTTTATCTTCATAGCAGTAAAACCCTTTGAAGTCAGCTTCTTCTGTAACTTCTTTTTTTTTTTTTTGAAATAGAGTCTTGCTCTGTCGCCCAGGCTGCAGTGCAGTGGTGCCATCTCGGCTCACTGCATCCTCCACCTCCCTGGTTCAAGTGATTCTCCTGCCTCCACCTCCCAAGTAGCTGGGACTACAGGCGCCTGCCACCATGCCCGGCTAATTTTTGTATTTTTAGTAGAGATGGGGTTTCACTGTGTTAGCCAGGATGGTCTCCTCTCCTGACCTCATGATCCGCCTGCCTCGGCCTCCCAAAGTGCTAGGATTACAGGCATGAGCCACCGTGCCCGGCCCCATAACTTCTTTTTAATCTGAAATAATTTTTAATTCCAGGGATCAATGTTACTTCTATTGTAATAATGGAATTTGCCAGTTAATACTTCATTTGGTTTCTGATCTTGATATTTAATATATATTTAAGATGTAAATAAGATTCCAGAAATTGGTTTGGTTAAGCCCATAATCCCTCTTTGCTTGACAGCTAGTTTGCTACCAAGATCATTTAGTATTATGTATTATAATGATTATCGTGTCAATGGGCCTTTCTTTATGTGATTTCTATGAAAACCTATATAGTGGTGTCATAAGACATAGCTAGAAACATACACATAAAAGGTCTAGTCTGTAGTCCTCACTTTATGTATAAGCAACTTCCTTGCCTGCCAGGTGATTCCATATTAAGTTTGTCTGGGAAAAAGAAGCTTGTAGTATATAGGTGATTTTTCAAACAATGTTTTGGGGAAGGAGCCCTGTCCTCTGCCTACAAGCTCAGGCATGCTCGTGCACCCCCACTAAACGCGTCCATATGCCTGGCCTTGATTTCATGAGATCACTATTATTGGGGGATTCTATTTTGGGATTTAAGTAACATTGTTTGATGTAAGTGTTCCACTGCAAAAAACGTTTGAAAACTGTAGTCAAGAGGCATAATGAGGCTTTTTAGGGCTCTGACATCAATGATACATGGTAAATTCCATAGTTTGTGTGCAGGTGTGTATTTATGATCTTCTCCGTGACAGGTGTGGCAATGGTGCAACTCCTCTTTTCCTTTTTAGTTGACACCTAATAATTGTACACATTTATGGGAAACAGAGTGATATTTTCCTATGTGTATATAATGTGTAATGATCAAATCAGAGTGATTACTATATCCATCACCTCAAATATTTATCATTTATTTGTGTTGTGAACATGAAAAAATACTCTCCTCTAACTTTTTGGAAAATGTAATACAGTTGAGCATATTCACCATAGGATGCCACAGAACAGGCAAACTCAGTCCTCTCTATGTAACTGTAATTTTATATCCATCAAACAACCTCCCTCCCATTCTTCCACTTCCCAGCCTCCAATACCCACAAGCTCTACGCTGATGAGCACACAAAACATCTTTTTTGCTCCCACATAAGAGCCAGAGCATGTGATATTTGTTTTTCTGTGCTTGACATATTTCATTTAACATAATGTCCTTTGGGCTCATTCCTGTTGCTGCAAATGGCAGGATCCATTCTTTTCTGTGGCTGAATAGTATTCCGTCGTGTCATCGTGTCTGTATACTGTGTTTGCTCTATCCGTTAATATTTCATGCCTGAAAGTAGGGTGGTGTTGCTTGTGTGTGTTTCATGGAGTTAAATACCCACTGATGGATATTTAGGTTGATTCTGTATCGTAGCTATTGTGAATAGTGCTGCAATACACACTGGGGTGTACGTATCCCTTTGATTTCTTTTCTTTTGGGGGGAAAAAAAACCCCCAGTGCTGGGATTGCTGGATCCTGTGGTAGCTCTGTTTTAGTTTTTTTATGGAAATGCCGTACTGTTTTCTATAGTGGCTGTACCTGTTTGCATTCCCACCAACAGTGTTCCCACCTTTTCTCTGCATTTTCACCAGCATGTTTTCTTTTTTTGATAATAGTCATCCGAACTGGGTAAGATGATATTTCATTGTGGTTTTGATTCGTATTTCCCCGGTGATTAGTGATGTTCAACATTTTTTCATATTTTTAAATTATACTTTAAGTTCTAGGGTACATGTGCACAACGTGCAGGTTTGTTACATATGTATACATGTGCCATGTTGGTGTGCTGCACCCATTAACTCGTCATTTACATTAGGTATATCTCCTAATACTATCCCTCCCCTCTCCCTCCACCCCACAACAGGCCCCGGTGTGTGATGTTCCCCTTCCTGTGTCCAAGTGATCTCATTGTTCAATTCCCACCTACGAGTGAGAACATGCGGTGTTTGGTTTTCTGTTCCTGTGTTAGTTTGCTGAGAATGATGGTTTCCAGCTGCATCCATGTCCCTACAAAGGACATGAACTCATTGTTTTTTTATGGCTGCATAGTATTCCATGGTATATATGTGCCACATTTTCTTAATCCAGTCTGTCATTGATGGACATTTGGGTTGGTTCGAAGTCTTTGCTATTGTGAATAGTGCTGCAATAAACATATATGTGCATGTGTCTTCATAGCAGCATGATTTATAATCCTTTGGGTACATACCCAGTAATGGGATGGCTGGGTCAAATGGTATTTCTAGTTCTAGATCCTTGAGGAATCACCACACTGTCTTCCACAATGGTTGAACTAATTTACAGCCCCACCAGCAATGTAAAAGTCTTCCTATTTCTCCACATCCTCTCCAGCACCTGTGGTTTCCTGACTTTTTAATGATCGCCATTCTAACTGGTGTGAGATGGTATCTCATTGTGGTTTTGATTTGTATTTCTCTGATGGCCGGTGATGATGAGCATTTTTTCATGTGTCTGTTGGCTGCATAAATGTCTTCTTTTGAGAAGTGTCTGTTCATATCTTTTGCCCACTTTTTCATGGGGTTGTTTTTTTCTTGTAAATGTGTTTGAGTTCTTTGTAGATTCTGGATATTAGCCCTTTGTCAGATGAGTAGATTGCAAAAATTTTCTGCAATCTGTAGGTTTTGTTCTGTAGGTTGCCTGTTCACTCTGATGGTAGTTTCCTTTGCTGTGCAGAAGCTCTTTAGTTTAATTAGATACATTTGTCAATTTTGGCTTTTGTTGCCGTTGCTTTTGGTGTTTTAGACATGAAGTCCTTGCCCATGCCTATGTCCTGAATGGTATTGCCTAGGTTTTCTTCTAGGGTTTTTATGGTTTTAGGTCTCACATTTAAGTCTCTAATCCATCTTGAATTAATTTTTGTATAAAGTGTAAGTGAGGGATCCAGTTTCAGCTTTCTACATATGGCTAGCCAGTTTTCCCAGCACCATTTATTAAATAGGGAATCCTTTCCCCATTTCTTGTTTTTGTCAGGTTTGTCAAAGATCAGATGGTTGTAGATGTGTGGTATTATTTCTGAGGGCTCTGTTCTGTTCCATTGGTCTATATATCTGTTTTGGTAGCAGTACCATGCTGTTTTGGTTACTGTAGCCTTGTAGTATAGTTTGAAGTCAGGTAGCATGATGCCTTCAGCTTTGTTCTTTTGACTTAGGATTGTTTGGTTCCATATGAATTTTAAAATAGTTTTTTCCAATTCTGTGAAGAAAGTCATTGGTAGCTTGATCGGGATGACATTGAATCTATAAATTACCTTGGGCAGTATGGCCATTTTCATGATATTGATTCTTCCTATCCATGAGCATGGAATATTCCTCCATTTGTTTATGTCCTCTTTTATTTCGTTGAGCAGTGGTTTGTAGTTCTCCTTGTAGAGGTCCTTCACATCCGTTGTAAGTTGGATTCCTAGGTATTTTACTGTCTTTGAAGCAATTGTGAATGGGAGTTCACTCATCATTTGGCTCTCCTTTTGTCTGTTATTGGTGTATAAGAATGCTTGTGATTTTTGCACATTGATTTTGTATCCTGAGACTTTGCTGAAGTTGCTTATCAGCTTAAGGAGATTTGGGGCTGAGACGATGGGGTTTTCTAAATATACGATCATGTCATCTGCAAATAGGGACACTTTGACTTCCTCTTTTCCTAATTCAAAACCCTTTATTTCTTTCTCCTGCCTGATTGCCCTGGCCAGAACTTCCCACACTACGTTGAATAGGAATGGTGAGAGAGGGCATCCCTGTCTTGTGCCGGTTTTCAAAGGGAATGCTTCTAGTTTTTGTCCATTCAGTATGATATTGGCTGTGGGTTTGTCATAAATAGCTCTTACTATTTTGAGATACTCATCAATACTGAATTTATTGAGAGTTTTTAGCATGAAGCACTGTTGAATTTTATTGAAGGACATTTCTGCATCTATTGAGATAATCACGTGGTTTTTGTCTTTGGTTCTGTTTATATGCTGGATTACATTCTGTTTATTGATTTGCATATGTTGAACCAGCCTTGCATCCCCGGGATGAAGCCCACTTGATCATGGTGGATAAGCTTTTTGATGTGCTGCTAGATTCAGGTTACCGGTATTTTATTGAGGATTTTTGCATCAATGTTCATCAGGGA